TTTTCAATTTTCTATATATACAGATGATCAGTTTAGTATACATTAAGTAAAGATTTCAACCGTTTGCACCCACATAGAAACACAAAGTGAAATATACTGTTTGAGTACACGTTATAGCATTAAATCTCAATGTACAGCACATTAAGGACAGAGATCCTACATGAGGAGTAAGTGTACAGTGACTTTTGTTGTTGTCTTTACAAATTGACACTCCTGTTTATGGCATCAGTAATCTCCCTATGCTCCAGTCATGAGTTTCCAAGGCTATGGAAGCCTTTTGAGTTCTCCAACTCTTATCTTGTTTAGACAAGGTCATAGTCAAAGTAGAGGTTCTCTCCTCCCTTCAGAGAAAGGTACCTCCTTCTTTGAAGACCTGTTCTTTCCACTGGGATCTCACTCACAGAGATCTTTCATTTAGGTTTTTTTTTTTTTTTTTTTTGCCAGAGAGTCTTGGCTTTCCATGCCTGAAATACTCTCATGGGCTTTTCAGCTGGATCCGAATGGCTTTAGGGCTGATTCTGAGGCCAGAGTGCTAAAACCATTAGATTTAATTAGTGAATTTATCAAGGTTGCTAGATGTAAGGTCAATAAACAAAAAAATCAATTGTAACAGAAGGACAAGTACCCCCTGATCTTACTCTTATATATGGAAGCTAAAAATGTTATCCTCACGGAAGCAGAGGACAGAACAGTGGTTCCCAGGAACTGGGGAAGGCAGAGGAGGGGAGAGATAATAGGCCTGACTCGTGGTGTCCTTCTGCACATAGGGTGGCTGGAATTAACAATAATGTACTGTGCACTTAAAAAGAGCTACAAGAGTAGATTTTGAATGTGCTCATCACAGAGAAAAGATAAATATTTGAGGGGATAGTTATGCTAATTACCCTGTTTTGATTTCACAAAATGTTTATATGTATTGAAACATCAAATTGTATCCCATAAATATGTGCAATTATTATGGGTAAATGATTATGGTTAAATTAAAAATAAAAAAATCAATTGTACTCTTTTGTACAAATAAACAATTACAGAATTAAATTTCACTTACTTCATAAAAACTAAACACTTGGGAATAAATCTAGTGAAAGAAATGAAGATATCTATATTAAAATGTAAAAGGCATCAAAATTAAAGACAATCTGAATAAATGAAGAGATATACTATGTTCACAGATTGGCAGAGTCTGTATTTTTTTAAAAAGTTATTTATTTATTTGAAAGTCATAGTTAGAGAAAGGCAGAGAGAGAGAGAGAGAGAGAGAGAGGTCTTCCATATGCTAGTTCATTCCCCAGATGGCTGCAACGGCCGGAGCTGTGCAGATCCGAAGCCAGGAGCCAGGAGCTTCTTCCGGGTCTCCCACATGGGTGCAGGGCCCCAAGGACTTGGGCCATCTTCCACTGCTTTCCCAGGCCACAGCAAAGAACTGATTCAGAAGTGGAGCAGCTGAGTCTCAAACTGGCGCCCATGCGGGATGCCGGCACTGCAGGCGGCGGCTTTACCCCCTACACCACAGCACCAGCCTTGAGTCTGTACTGTTAAGATACTAATTATCCTGGGGCTGGCATTAAGCCTCTGCTTGTGGTGCCGGCTTCCCATATGGGCTCTGATTCATGTCCCAGCTGCTCCTCTTCCGATGCAGTCCTCTGCTATGGCCTGGGAAAGCAATGGAAGGTGGCAAGCGCTTGGGCCCCTGCACCTGCTTTGGAGACCTGGAAGAAGCTCCTGGATCCTGGCTTCAGATCAGCCCAGCTCTGGCCATTGTGGCCATTTGGGAAGTGAACCAGCGATGAACAGACCTTTCTCTGTCTCCCCCCACCTCTCTCTATATATAACTCTCTCAAATAAATAAATAAAATATTAAAAAACATACAAATTCTGATCTATATAGGCAATATAATTCCAATCAAAATCCCAGAAGAACATTTTGTGAGAAATTGATAGCCAATTCTAAAATGAATATGAAATGCAAAAGACTTAAAATAGTCAAGAAAATATTGAGAAAAAGAATAAAGATAGAACACTTATACGCCAGCTTTTAAGGCAATGTGGCATTGGTTCATACTAGACAAAAAGACTAACGTCTCAGAATAGAGAATCCAGGGGCCAGTGTTGTGGAGTACTGTGTTAAGCCACCATCTGCGACGCCAGCGTCCTGTATGACTGCTGGTTTCTGTCTGCCTGCTCCACTTCTGATCCAATTCCCTGCTATGGCCTGGGAAAAGCAGCAGAAGATGGCCAAGGGCTTGGGACCCTGCTACCCACTTGGGAGACCTGGAAGAAACTCCTGGCTCCTGGCTTCAGCTTGGCCTAGCCCTGGTCATTCTGGGGATTTGGGGAGTGAACCAGTGGATGGAAGATACCTCTCTCCTTCTCTCTGTCTCTCCCTCTCTCTCTCTTTCAAATAAATAAATAAATCTCTTCTTTTTACAGATTTATTTATTTATTTGAAAAGTGGAGCTACAGAGAGGGAGAGGCAGAGGCAAAGAGAGAAATCTTCCATATACTGGTTCACTCCCCAAAATGCCACAATGGCCAGGGCTGGGCCAGTCTGAAGCCAGGAGCCAGAAGCTTCATCTGGGTCTCCCATGTGGGTGGGAGGGGCCTAAATACTTTGGCTATCTTCTGCTTCCTTTCCAGGTGCATTAGCAGGGAGCTGAATTGCAAGTGGAGCAGCCAGGACTCGAACTGCTGCCCAGATGGGAATGCAGTGCTGCAGGCAGCAGCTTTACCTGCTACTCCACAGTGCCAACCCAATAAATAAATTAAAAAAAAAAGATAACCTATAAGAATATAAAACTTAAAAACACATTTTATGGAATCGAAACAAGAACAAAGAAAGTGTTCTATATAATTTGATATTGGGGAAATGCAAATTAAAGCTATTATTATATTTTACTATAAATAAAATAGAATGGCTAACTTTTAAAAAGTATGGGAAATAATGGGAAGCAACCAGAACTTTGATAAACAGTCATGTGTCACTGAGAAAAATATCATTTTTGTTGTTTATCCTTCCATAAACTTAGATGGTACAGGTTAAACACTCAACTTGGCCTCTTGGGACAATCAAGAGACTCGGTAAATACGAGGTGTATGATACTGTTGCTGCCAGAACACAACTTACGGTTTTATAGTAAAAAAAAAAAAATTGGTATAAATAGGAGTATCCTCTAAAATAACATTTTATTTCTTGAAATTTTTATTGCAATAAAATATAACAATTTCTGATTTTAACCACTCAAGTGTTCAACTCAGCAGGATCAATTACATTAACAGAGTTGTGCAACCATTACCACTATGTTTCCAAAACGTTTTCATCACCCCAAACAGAAACTCTGTACCTATTATGCAAGATGCCCCACTCCTCCCTCCCCCCTGCTCCTGGAAGCTTCTGATCTGCTTTCTCCCTCTATAAGTTTGCCTACTATATATTTCAAATAAATGGAATTACGTAATATTTTGTCTCTGTGTCTGGCTTCTTTCACAGGTTTATTCATGTTGTAGCACATACCAATGACATCCTTTTTCACAGGTGAATAATACTCCAGTGTACACACATATTATACTTCATTGTACACATATATTATGCTTTGTTTATTCACTCGTCTGTTGGTGGACACCCAGATGACTGTGCAATGCTGCAATAAACATTGGTGTGGAAGCCTCTGAGTCCCTGATTTCAATTGTTTTGGAGAAATGTCTGTTGGAATCCTTTGCCTATGTTTTTAAATTGGGTTATCTGTCTTTGTGTTGTTATAGGAGTCCTTTGTATGTTCTTGGGATTAAATAAAAAGTAGATATATGATTTACAAATATTTACTCCCATTCTGTGGATTGTCTTTTCACTTTCTTGATATTGTCCTTTGATGCACACAATTTTGAAAACGCCCAATTTATTTTGTACACTCTAAGAACAATAATCTTTTAATAAATGAATAAAGAAATATTTTACTGAACTGCTGTTAGCTTTCAGTTGAATAGTACTTGTGATACACTGGTATCTCTTTAAAATATATTGATTTTGGGGCCACCACTGTGGCATAGTGGGTAAGGCCTGCGTGGGCCAACCGTATGGGTGCCAGTTTGAGTCCCGGCTGCTCCATTTCTAATCCATCTCCCTGCTGATGTGCCTGGTAAAGCAGCGGAAGATGGCCCAAGTTCCTGGGCCCTGGTACCCACGTGACACACCTGGCTCCTGGCTTCGGATCGGCGCGTTGTGGAGCAGCCACTGGGGGGTGAACCAACGGAAAAGGAAGACCTTTCTCTCTCTCTCTCTCTCTCACTCATTGTCCACTCTGCCTGTCCAAAAAAAAAAAAAAAAAAAAAAAACCTTAAATATACTGATTTTTCTCATGTGCATATTTGTACTAATAACTGGACCATAAAACTGTGAGAACCACTGTGATGGACTAAGATCTGTGTGAGTCTACAATATGGCTGTGACCGCTTTGTATGATTTCTGGCAGAGTGCAATCAGAGAAGACACATAGATGCATTTTCAGACTCCAGGCTGGAGAGCTTTTCAGCAGCAGGGAGATGTTCCCACGGGAAGGGGAATGACCCTGGAAAGGAAATGCTTCCTTCACTGCCCTGACCGAGCCAGATCGCAGGAGTGTTTGTAAGGGATCTGAAAGAACCCAAAGAAAGGTCTTCACAGTGCGGAAAACGCTCCACAGTGGAGACACAGCATGGCAGCACCCACTCCCACCCACTCCCTCCCACTCCGGCCCTGCCCAGTTGCTGATTTTGGGAAGCACTTTGGCAGGTACACAGGATGGTGAAGTTGCCAGGTTTCTTTGGGGTTTGCTAAAGAATACCACAGGGAAATCAGGCGTGAAGCAAGAGCTTAGCTCTTAGCAGGGGTGTTGTTTGTGGTTTTGTTACTGGAACTTGCTGGTGACCTTAACAAAGCCAAAGTTGCATCGACACAGGAATTGCAAATCCAAAAGGGGTGGGGTGAGATTTAGAGGCATAAAAGGCTCAGCAGCTGCCCCCACAGCACCGCCGTTCCAGAGGCAAACGGGCCAAGATGAGGTGAGTCCACAGCTGTAACCCTTTTCTCTTGTTCGTTATTTCATCCTTCTTTGTATTCGCTGCTATAGAAGCAGACTGAGGGAGAGCCAAAAAAATATAACAAATCAGGGCAAATGGGCTACATTAGATGAATTAAAAGGTTTTTCTTTGTGTTAAGTTCTCTCCTTTTCTGCATCCATAAAAGACAGTGCTTTCAGACCTGCTGTCTTTCCTGGGAGATCACAAAGTTTTCACCTTCCCAGGGGATGCCGGCTGCCCCTGTGGTAGGCTTCCTGGCATCTTGCCTTTATTTATTAGCATTTTTTTCTTCTTAAAGAAACATGCAATAAGAAAAATCAGTAGTGATACATTCGAGTGATATAATTAGGGCACTAGGAATTTTATTAAAATGAGCAGACTCTTTGAAATGTTGAAACAGCAAGACTAGGAACGTAACATAACGAAGCACTCCTTGAAGAGCCAACCCGTCAGTGAAATGGGTCACTGGTCAGGATGGCCTGGGCACTGAAGGCCAGGGTCACAGCCATGCTTGCAGGAAGCAGTTCTCTTCTGGGGGTGGTGGTGGTGGTGGTGGTGGTTATATAATGTTTCCTAAATGCAAATGATCATAAAATAATAGAAATGACCATACACATATTTTAAATTATATATACTTAAAAGCCTGTTTTTATGGAAAATTTCAAAAAGTACAGCGTGTAGCCTGACAGCCCCGCTGCCTTCCCACCTTCAAGTTACCCGCATTGTATTAACCGTGTCTGTAGCCTGGTGCGTTCGAGGTGGCCGAGGGAAGATGCTGTCTGCTGGAGAGCTCCTGCACTGTTGTTTATTAGTGTTCCCTAAATGTAGCCAGAGGCTGCGCCCCACTTATCTTGGTGGCCCCCTCTGAAGCTTACGCAGCATTCCTAGCACACGGAGCCTGCACTCAAAAGCTGCTGAGGTCTGTAAGTGGGTGGGTGGAGAGATCTTGGTCCTAGCACATCCACGAGTTCTGTTTTTTTCCGGCTGCTTAATGGGAGGGGGGTGTGTGTGTGGTGGAGCAGGGAGAGCAGCTCTGCACTCCCTCCTGTCTTCTCTCTGCAGAGCCTTGGGAGCCGTCATCACCCTGCTGCTCTGGGGACAGCTCTTCGCCGCGGACTTTGGCAACGAGGTCACGGATATTGCAGGTGGGCCTTCGGGTCTGGGCAGATCTGTGCATTCCCAGCACCGCTGTGCCCTGCTTTCAACTTCCTGTGGGAATTCCAACCCAGTTTCCCCATCATCCCCATCTCCGGGCTTTCAGTAGCATCAGGAACATGGATGCTGCCAGAAACGAGGGGAGACTGCCCTTCCCTCGGCTTCCATGTGGGGTGCAGAGAGGTGACCGGGCAGGGCGGCTTCCTCCCTCCTGAGTTTTCATGTCTCTGCAGGCAGTCTGAGTAGCTTCTTCCTGTTTCTCCCTTGCAGATGACAGCTGCCCAAAGCCCCCGGAGATTGCAAACGGCTACGTGGAGCACTTGGTCCGTTACCAGTGTAAGAACTACTACAGGCTGCGCACTGAAGGAGATGGTAAGTCCCCAACAGGTGCCTCCGTGCCCCACACACATTCCCGCCTGACATCTCCATAATGATGCAGCTGGGGTGACTGGCCAGCAAGTTAACATGCTCTCCTTGGAGCCGGGAGAGTTGGATCCTAGGTTTTCTCTTTTGTTGCGGGGATCTACCTCTACAGAAGGTGCAGGAACAGAACAGGTGGTGAGGATAGATAACCATCACCGGGCAGCATTCCGTTCCCGCCTCTGCTCACGTGCTTTAGTTACCTGAGGCTCGCTGTTCCCACTTTGCCGCGGAGGAGGCTGAGGCACAGAGGGGCTGGGTATCTGCCCAAGTTTAGGAAGTCAGGATTTGAACCCTAACCCCTACCTGTCCAGCCTCTCCAGGACCGCATAACCGGTCTGTGTCGCTGAGCTTAACGGGAGCCCCCAGCACTTCTCTTCCTTCTCCCTGTCTCCTCCTCTTGACTTGAATTCTTCTCTTCTCAGTGCACACTAGGTCCAGATTTGATTTCCCTTTTGATTTTCTTCTTTGTGTTCCAGGAGTATATGCCTTGAACAGTGAGAAGCAGTGGGTGAACAAGGCTGTTGGAGAGCAACTTCCTGAATGTGAAGCAGGTGGGTGCTGAAGGGCTGAAATGTCCCCGAGGCAGATCCTCCCCGTGTGGCTTCCCCCGAGCACACAGGCGCCAAGATGAGGGAGAGGACAGCCACAGGTGGGCAGGCCAAGACCGCAGCAGAGAGGTCACTGCTTCCAGGTAGAGAGCTTTCAAGTCTGTCTTGTTCATTTGGGCCTGAGGCACGATGGCTGAAGGCACTGTCTGTATTGGCCCCAAATTCAGGAGCTCATGTTTGAACAGGCTGCCTGCCCAGAGTAAAGAGCAGCATCCCTGAACCCCTGGCAGGGCAGAGCAGGCTGCAGATGGGCGCTCCTTCTGCTCCCCATTACTCACAAGACCCACTGCTCTCTCCTCCTCCCCCTTCAAAGAGGATTCTGAGTATCTTCTCCTCTTACTGGTGTGGAACCGCCAACTGACTTGTACTAACTGTGATATCTCTAGAAATCTGAGTTCCAGCCGATGCTGCTACAGTCCCTCTTTTTTTCTGAGAGAAAGGACTATCACAGAACCTAGACCTTTCAACGAGTTTCCAGGAATTGTGGAAAGTCCTTTGGTGTGACAAATCATTTAAATATACAAGCATGAACAGTTCATCAGCCAGGGATTAGAAATCCTAGTGCCACTTACTTCTTTTGTGAGTTAGAGAAGCAGATGAAAGAATTCTGCTTTGCAATGAAAAAAAAAAAAAAAGGAATTATTTTAAGTGGCAGACATCGGACTTGAGCTGAGCGAGTGGTAGGGAGAAGCATCTGAACACATTCAGCTCCGGGAAAATGGGCAACAGCGGCTCGGGCAGCAGCTGCACCAGTGCCTGTGCCCATCTTCCCCACAACGGGGAACTCTGCCCAACTTCTGCTCACAAGTTTCTTGCTCCCCTTGACAGTATGTGGAAAGCCGAAGCATCCAGTGGATCAGGTGCAGCGGATCATCGGTGGATCTCTGGACGCCAAAGGCAGTTTTCCTTGGCAGGCTAAGATGGTCTCCCGCCACAATCTTGTCACAGGGGCCACACTGATCAGTGAGCAATGGCTGTTGACCACGGCCAAAAATCTCTTCCTGAATCACACAGAGAATGCAACTGCACAAGATATTGCCCCTACTTTAACTCTTTATTTGGGCAGAAGGCAGCTTGTGGAAATCGAGAAGGTGGTTCTCCACCCTAACTACTCTGAGGTAGACATCGGGCTCATAAAACTCAAAGATAAGGTACCTGTTAATGAGAGAGTGATGCCCATTTGCCTACCTTCAAAGGATTATACGGAAGTGGGGCGTGTGGGTTATGTGTCCGGCTGGGGGCGAAACTCCAACTTCAGATACACTGACCATCTGAAGTATGTCATGCTGCCTGTGGCTGACCAAGATAAGTGTATCCAGCATTATGAAAACAGTACAGTGCCTGAAAATAAGATTCCTAAGAGCCCTGTAGGGGTGCAGCCCATCCTGAATGAACACACCTTCTGCGCTGGCATGTCCAAGTATCAGGAAGACACCTGCTATGGTGACGCTGGCAGCACCTTTGCCATTCACGACCTGCAGCAAGACACTTGGTACGCAGCCGGGATCCTGAGCTTTGATAAGAGCTGCACTGTCGCTGAGTATGGTGTGTATGTGAAGACATTCAACATCCTGGACTGGATTCAGAAAACCATAGCCAGCAACTAGTACAAGACAGGATGGAAGCCCGTATCTGAGAGCAAAATTCACCCTGGGAGAGGGAAAGGTGGATAGGAATAGATGGGGTAAGACAGTCTGAGGCTGTTGGGTGCCAGAGCTGTACTGCTGCGTCAATCAATAAAGAGCTTTTATATATGTACTTTTGGACTCCTTTCTGTGTTTTTAGTCCTGGACATTTTTTGCCTCATGTATGGTACATGGGCAGCGAAGTGGTATAGATGCCACTGGGCATATGGCAGGAAACAGTCAACCAGAAAAAACAAACGTGATGCACCGTTCTCACTGGGGATCCTACTCGTTGACGGAGTGCCTACTTTATGCTAGGTCTCAGAAAGGTAACTGTTAATCTTTAGACAAGGAAGCGAAGCCCTGGGAAGTTATGTGATTAGCTCAAGATTACACTATTGAATAGTGACGCTGTCTGAATACAAACTCGAGCCACTTTCACTGCATCTTGCTGACTTTAAAAAAAAAAAAAACCTTTCGCTTTCTAAGATTTATTTATTTATTTGAAAGTCAGAGAGAAAGCTACACAGAGAGAGGAGAGGTCTTCCATCTGCTGGTTCACTCCCCAACTGGCCGCAATGGCTGGCGCTGAGCCGATCCGAAGCCAGGAGCCAGTGCTTCCTCCTGGTCTCCCATGCGGGTGCAGGGCCCAAGCACTTGGGCCATCCTCCACTGCCCTCCCAGGCCAGAGCAGAGAGCTGGACTGGAAGTGGAGCAGTCGGGACTCAAACTGGCACCCATATGGGAAGCCAGCACTGCAGGCGGTGGCTTCACCTACTATGCCACGTCGGCCCCAAAGTCCTGATGCTTTCTAAACACCGCCTGCTGTCTCCAACCCTGGGCCTCTCCTCAGGGCCCCCTGCCGAGCTGCCCTCCCGCCTCTGGTGTGAGCACCTCCTTCTCTCCCTTAGGACTTGAGCAGGGCCCCTCTCAGCAGCCTTTCTTCCTTGCACAGGAGCCATTTAGATTTATGTAGCACCCAGCACAGGACACGGTACACAGTATGTACTAAATAAGCAACTAAGAGGATCTCCAACATAAATTGGGCCTTCAGAGAAGGATTCCCTAAAGTCCTTGTGAAGAGAGATAGGAATTTTATGCATGCAAGTTCTGGGCTCTTACTGGTATCAGAGTACTTCCCACACACCAAATTCTGTGCAGTGCAGCCTACGAACAGAAAATGCAGTCAGCAGTGACCGAGACAATGAAGGCATTTTATCTTCTCATAGAGGTCTTGGGGAGGCAGGTCTAGTCTACCCAGTAGCCAAACATCACTACCACCGGTGAACAGGCTCTTCTCATTTTTGTTCTCAATGTAACAATTTTTCAACCTGATGCATGGCTGGAGTGGGGGAAAGGAGAAAAGAGGCGTGCAGTGAAAGAGTTGTGTTTCCTGGAATCGCTCTCTCCTTTTATCCGTGAAGAATGTGCCAAGTGCCAGCAGTCTTCCTTCCACACCATGTTAGCCACAGCCGAGTCCTGCTCACGTCCCTCTGTGCTGGACAGCCTTGGCAAGGGTCATATGGGCCTGTCAGCAAGGTCACAGCCGCCTGGCCCCCTCCAGCCGTGCATCCATCCTCTCATTCTAAACAGCCATGAGGTTTCAGGAAGAGCAGTGACTTGCCCGGGCTGTGTCAGGGGACCCAGGGAGAGCAAGACGCTGTCACAAAGTGCTCAAAGCAGGCGAATCCCATAGAGGTGCTGTTTCTTTCAAAGAGTTCTCACACCTCTGCAGCCCTGAGCACGTGAGACGCCACCACCTGCCTCCGAGACCGCCGGGAGCCTGCCTTCCAGGAGAGCTGCGCTCCTACAGACACAGGCAGTCAGCTCTGCTTAGCTCAGACGGAGCGCTACACAGTGAGGGTTCAACTTCTCATTCTTAGACTAATTATCATAAAAGTTGTAAAAAGAGCCAACCAGGACAGGACTTTGGTTTGTGCCAGAAGTGTCCAAAATAAAACAAACTTGCTGGCTATCAGTACAGGATTATTTATTCCAAGAACAACTGGGGTTGAAAGGACTGGAGAAGGAGAGCTTAAGGGGTGTGCGAGAGGGGGAATGGGTGTGTGTGTGTTCATACGTGTGTGAATGTGCGTGTGCGCCCGTGTGTATGCATGTGTGCACACGTGCACAAAAGGGCATGCATCTAAGGTGGAAAGTAAGAATTTTTGCTCTCACATGAACTGATCTTGTATTTTAGTTGTGGGCCAATAAACATGGCTATTGCACTAGCCAAGGTTTACAAGTGTTCAGTACTATCCCAAGGCGTAAAGAAAAGCACACTGTCAAGAGACGTCTAAGACATCACCCTGGAGAAAGTGGACATCGTCACTTGACTTCTCAGAGGCTCGCTGAGGGCAGACGTTAGATGGTCCAGGCCAACCCGGCACCAGTGTGGTCTCCACGCAGGGGCCCGGCACCTCACGGACAAGCCGAACCTCTTCACCAGGACGCTGACTGTGGTTCCAAAGCATTGTTTCAAGATGTGCCTTTCTCTTCATCGCTGACAGCGTGTGCTAAATGTCTTGATAGAGAAGGTCATACTTGGGAATATTCTTGGGGTCAATAGGGCTTTGGACGATCAGCTTTCCCCTCATGGCTCCTCGGTAGATTACCTCAATCAGATCTATGAAGTCCTGTTTTGTTTTGAAACTTCCCACAAACTTAGTGTGATCCGGAGATCTAGACAGCACAGGAGAGAAACAACTGCTCTCAGAACTCGTAGTCATTGCTTCTCAAGATTTTCAGGACAAACAAAATGAACAGTAGCTTTGCTGCCTTCTTCTTGGTGAGCATGTTCTTTTCATAAAGATTTACTTATTTATTTATTTGAAAGGCAGAATGAGAGAGATAAGTCAGAGAAAGAGATCTCCCATCTGCTTGTTCACTCTTCAAATGGCTGCCACAGCAGGTCTAGGCCAGGCCGAGATAGGAGTGCAGACTTCATCTAGGTCTCCCACATGGGGGTGCGGCTCAGGCACCTGGGCCACCTTCTGCTGCTTTGTCAGGTACATTAGTGGGAGCTGGATTGGAAGTGGAGCAGCTGGGACTCAAACCAATTTGAGACACTGGTATTGCAGGTAGTGGCTTAACCCTGCAGGCCACAGTCCTAGTGCCCTGAGCAGACTCCGGACATAAAGCCTGACACTACTTTTCTCCCACTCGGTGTGTGACAAAATCCAGTGCTGTGGACCATTAGCACAGAAAGTCTGTCCAGTGAAAACATTCTGCGTAGGCAGAATTCACCCCGTGCTGGGCCGGGCAGTTGGTCCACTTGCTGTTCTGGCGAGCACTGGGTAAAGCCCACTGACTAGCTGAGTCTCTGAATTGCTCAGACTTTCGCGTGGCGGGGATCTAAATAGTTTTTCAGAGAAGTATTTCAAACATATGTATGTTCATTGTGAAACATTTTCAGAAAAAGAAGAGTTAACTCGAGGTCACCTTTTGGTGTACATCCTCCCAATCCCGCATGCGTGTGTGTTATCTGTTTTCGTAACAATGAGCATTACATTGCACAAAGTAGTCTCCTGCTGTTTTTTCAACCAACATGGACTTCTTTAAAACTCATTAATCTGCATCTACAACATCACATGAAATATCCTGGCAATACGATTATTGGGTTAAAAAGTTTAAACACTTTAAGGTATTTGATACCTGGTATCATAAATTGTCCTTTAAAAAGAATGTGCCAACTTAATACTTATATCGGCTGTGTTCTAGAAGAATCCACAGATTTAAAACAGAGAACGTTTAACACTCTGTCAAACAGAGGACACAGCAGGTGCCCAGGCAGACACGGGGACAGCTGCACCAGAGTCAGCAGCGAGGAGAACTGCGGACACAATCGGTGTGAGATGCAGTTCCGGGTGCTAACAGGAAGGCACAGACGGCCCTGCAGGAGCCGTCAGGTTACCTGTTCACGGCAGGCTTTGCTACAGACTGACTTTCAAATCCTTAGAGCTGCGCAAGGCGGGAAGCTTGGCAGGTGAGGCGCATATCTCAGTTTGCTGGGAGGAATGCTTCTTTTATCAATGCTACCCTCCAGTCCCAAAAGTTTAAGAGCAACTACAAAGTGTCCTTTCCTTTCATTCTTCAGCTGGAAATTTACGGTTGTTGGTCACACCTGACACTCTCTTATTTTGCACCAAATATTCACATGAAAAATTAGAGCATGTACCAGTTGAGGAAGGAGCTAACAGAAGCCTCACAGAGCCAGGGTCACATGCAGGCAGGTGAGCGCCTGAAGCTGCGTCCCTAAAGCAAACGTTCTCAGTCTAACTTACCCATAATCCACTTTCATGTGCTGTCCGTTGAAGAAAAACACTGTGGATGGAATATAACTGATGTCAAAATACTGTGTATACACTGGGGTTCTGTCCACGTCTACCAGGTATATAGCAGCCATCTTACTTAGGTCGGAAGAGGTCTTGGAAAGCTGCAAGTGACAAGAGAGATCCAGGTTAGGAGAGGCAGCTGCTGCCTCTGAGGGACACTTCTCCCTACCAGAATATTCTGTTTGAAACAATTCACGGGTCAAGAACCTAGCCATCAGACACAGTGCAACCATGTCGCTGGAGCCTAAATCATGGTGGCACTTAGCAGAGGCCTTGGGTAAACGGCTATGAAAACATTTCCTCCCATCTTTGGTAGAAGTAATCCATGCTCATTTAAAACAATGCTGAAATATGCAATGCAGACTGCAATCCCCAAACTCTTTTATCCCAATCTTCCCTGAAATGGTAACTACAGTAAAAGCCAACCCTTACAGGACTTACTATATGCAACTATCCTAAGCGGTTAACATTTGTTAACTCATTTAATCCTTACAGCACCCGAGGACGAGCTCCCACATCATGTGTGTGTCCCGAGGCTACTGGGCGGCAGGGCAGGGATGTGAGCACGGGCAGCCTTCAGTCTGCGCTCCTCACTGCTCTGGGATTTCCGCCTTCCTACAGTTGAGAATACAATCCTCTGGGCCTTTTGTCTCCAGGTTTTAACCAGTATGGTAGCAACAGAAATGGTGACAGTCCTAGGTTAAGTCTAGAACTCACACCTACTCTGTTCCCCACTCCCTCACCTTACCAGACAGAATGGGGAGACGTGCTACGCGCTACAGAATCCAAGATTATCAGGTACAGACTGAAGGCAGCAACTAGCAAAGAGAATTTAGTTTCAGCAAACTGAGTTCAAATCCCAGCAATTAGCAGCTCTGTGCCTGTTGGAAGTTACTCCACTTCCTGGGCATTCATTTCCCCTACTGGGAAATGGGGCTACTGTCATGAGCATCAAAAAAGATAATGTTTGGGGCCAGCGCCGTGGTGTAGCAAGTAAAGCCACTGCCTGCAGTGCTGGCATCCCATATAGGCGCCGGTTCAAGTCTTGGCTGCTCCACTTCCAACCCAGCTCTCTGCTATGGCCTGGGAAAGCAGTAGAAGATGGCCCAAGTCCTTGGGCCCCTGCACCCATGTGGGAGACCCGGAAGAAGCTCCTGGCTCCTGGCTTCGGATTGGCATTGCAGCCAACTGGGGAGTGAAGCAGCGAATGGAAGACCTCTCTCTCTTTGCCTCTGCCTCTCCTTCTCTGTTTAACTCTTTCAAATAAGTAAAAAAATCATAAAAAAAGATACTGTTCATAGATGCTTGTTAATAAGCTCTGCTCTCCCTCTGTCTCGTCAGCAAAGCTGGGCTTTGAGGGCAGCTATGGGGAAGTGCACCATCCAGACCCAGCGCAGGCACAGATCTGGGGGTCCCGCAGGGCAGCCCGGCAGTCAGCTGCTAGTGAAAGTGGACCGCTAGCCACATCCCCACCCCACCTGCTCCCTTTCGTGCACTTTGCAGATGTTGGATTTTTTAGTAAAAACTCACTTACAATATCATCCAGCTGCAGGCAGACCGGATCTTCATCTCTCCCAAACCTGAGAACCAACACCTTCTCCGCGGTGCTTTTTATTGCCTGGTCTACTTCTCTTTTGCTAGTCAGCTTGGGCAACAGGAAGCTCATCTCGAAGTCACTGAAAGTCAGTCCTCACTGCCAATCCTGAAACACAGCTGTCATGTTTAGACGCAGTTTAGATTCTGTGCACAAGCCCTTGCTGCAAGTCCGTGCTTTTCTAGGGCATGTAATAAAACGCTCCCATGGTTTAAAAAGAAGCCAGCCAGGAAGGTGTGCCGTGCAAGCCTCCCTCCTCGGGCCCGGTTCCCACTGCCTTACTCCCCCCACTCCTCACATCACGCTGCTGCTTTCCTTAGTTTCTCACGCATCTTTTAGAGTTCTGTCATGCGCTCACCAAATAATACAAACGTGTTCCTGTATTTCGTCTCCTTTTCTACCCAAAAGCCAGCTGACAGGTTAGTGTTCCATCAGGAAAGAGAGAACACCCTCAAATCCGGTAATCTGAGCACAGTCTGATTAAGGCAAGGTAAGGAACACGACGAGATCAAGCTGGTAACTGATGCTGTTCCCACCGCCAGATGCTGTGGCCAGGAGTGGCTGCCAGGGCTGTGTGCTGGAGAGGTGAGTGACGCTGCCGCCACTCCCCTCCCTCGCTCCGACCTCTGCTGGTACTCCCACTGGCTGCCTCCAAACTGGAATCAGTGGGTGGGGCCGCTGCCCAGGCAGGGGAGGTTCCCAGTCCCAGAGAAGTCTAGAGGAGGGAGAATGGCTCCGGGGAAACCAAGGCAGAGGCTCAGCACACACACTTTACCCACTCTTCCACACCTTGCAAGAGCAAGGACCAGAATCCAGGCCACCAAATTCCCAGTCCAGTGTTCCCTCTGAAATGACAAGTTCCTAATTTTGTGACTGGAAGAAATTTCATTTTGAGAACAATGAGACTCTGTGGAGACACCTGGTACTTTGAATTCAGTTCTAAAGTTGGCTAATGCTATGAAAAGGAAAATCCTTTCTCTATCTTTTGGTCACGAGTCACATTTCAAACATGATCTGTTTGGTCATTTGAAAGGCAGAGTGCCAGACAGCAAGGGAGAAAGGGGAGAGGCAGGGAGAGACCTTCCACCTGCTGGTCTGCAGGCCCTAAGTGGCTGCAACAGCCTGGGCTGCGCCAGACTGAAGCCGGGAGTCTGCAGTTCTATCCAGGTCCCTCACACGGGCAGCAAGGGCCCAAGTGCTCGGGTCATCTGCTGCTGCTTTATCAGGTACCTCAGCAGGGAGCTGGACTGGAAGTGGAGCAGCTGGGGCTCGAACCCAGCACTCTCTATGGAATGGCAGTGCTGCAGGCAGGGCTCAACCTACGGAACCACAGCGCCAGCCCCACGAGTCACCTGTTAAGATAATGCAATTTTGGGCCGGCGCGGCGGCTCACTAGGCTAATCCTCCGCCTTGCGGCTCCAGCACACCGGGTTCTAGTCCCGGTCAGGGCGCCGGATTCTGTGCTGGTTGCCCCTCTTCCAGGCCAGCTCTCTGCTGTGGCCCGGGAGTGCAGTGGAGGATGGCCCAAGTGCTTGGGCCCTGCACCCCATGGGAGACCAGGAGAAGCACCTGGCTCCTGCCATTGGATCAGCGCGGTGCGCCGGCGGCAGCGGCCATTGGAGGATGAACCAACGGAAAAGGAAGACCTTTCTCTCTGTCTCTCTCACTGTCTAACTCTGCCTGTCAAAAAAAAAAGATAATACAATTTCATATGAGAAATAAAAGTGTTCTAGCAATAGGTCGTAGAGAAGCTAACCACCAGAAGTGACTGCCAAACGCGCATGACAGAACCCAGTACTGATGGGAGTAAACAGGAATTCGCATGCGCCGCACTCCCAGAATTCCAGCAGACGGCAAGGGGAGGCGAGCGGAGGGCGGTGTTGTCAACAGGGAGACCGAGTATTAGAGACAGCGCGCGCTCGCCCCGGCCTCCGAACGGCCACGACGGCCAGGGCTGGGCCTCTCGGAGCTCCATCCCCAGCTTCCCCGGGGCTGGCGGGGCCCAAGCACCAGCGCCACCACCGCTGCGTCCGGAGCCAGAACCGGGTACGGAACCCAGTCCTCCGGGGTGGAGGCCCGCTCCGGAATGCTGGTTTTCGAGAGGCCGGTGGCAGGGCTGCTCCCGGCCCAGCAGGGGCAGGGACGACGCAACTTACGCGTCCAGGTCACCGCCACTTCAGGGATGTCAGCATAAGCGACCCGCGCTCGGAACAGCCGACGCCTCAGCAGCAACTTCCTCCCGCGACCCTAACCGCAAAGGGACCCTGTTGCCTAGCAACTGTCGTCCCGCTCGGCGGGAAGGAAACGGAAATGGAAAACGCACGGACGCGCGGTCGCCATTCGTCCCGGTCAGCAGTCCAATGAGCAAAGGAGATTACTTTAAGTGCCGCCTACATTGTCCAGGTTCGACCGGAAGGTCTACGTCACTTCCGCCAGCTTTACCTATGGCTTACTTGCCCTTCTCTCCCCGCCCCCAGACCGGAGGGCTGGGCTTCGCCTCTTAGACTAAGCGTGATTGGCCGCAAGGAGACGCGGAAGTGTCTCTGACCAGCGCTCTAGAGGAAGCCACTCTAGCCCTGAGAACCTGGTCTCAATTCGTTGCACACCTGGATGAAGGAACAGGACTTTTCCGGGCTGCTCTCTATGGTATTCTTGGATGGCTAGAGGGGGCCGCGCAAGGAATTATGGGACAATGATGGCCGCTTTTACAGGGAGGATTTTGCCTCTTTGAGGCTATCCGAGCGAGCGGGGGCGCCGCTGGCGCGCTAGAAGCCCGCACTGAAGGGCTCCAGGAGTCGCGCTTGGGGAGGTGAGTGCCTCTTTTTCCTTTCTGATCTACCCTTCGCCTGCCGTGGCGGCTCCCTGCGGTCGGGTCCGGGCCCCGGCTTGGGAAGTTCCTGTCGTCCCTGTCACCCAACTTGTCTTTCTCACTCTGGGGATGCTGCTTCGTTCATTCTCCCCCGGCCTTTCTCCTTGCACTGGCCGGATTCGGCTGGCTGCCGCGGCCGCACGCTCGTCCAGGGATGCTGCCCGGGGTCGCCCCGCGCCTGGACCAGCGCGCAGACGGTGCGAGCCGAGCCGTGTGCCTCCTCCTCCCTCCCGGCGGTGTCTCCGCCAGCGGAGCCCTTTGTGTCGGCTCCCGGAGCGCGGAGTTTTCTCTGTTTTGTTCTCTCTAGAATAGCGGTGGGCGCAGGGAGGCACTCCGTGAATGATCGTTGAGTGAGTAAATCCAGGTTTTCTTGTACCCTTTGGCGCTTTTGCCATAAATTCATCCCGGGTCTAACTCCCTACTTGCTCTTCTCGTTCAGACCTTTTGTCCAGTGTTGCTGATACCTTTTACTGTTTCTAGAAGTGCTTGGGGTACTGTTCCTTTTAATAAGATTCATCTATTCATCATCTATCATCAGACGTTTATTTTGCCGCACAAGGGCTGTAGCAGTCAAGCAGACGGAAGAGGCTCCCTCAGCTCCGTAGACGGGCATTGTGGGGCGTATTTCCTTGTTCGCGCCGCCGAGGACAGCCTGGGTCTCCCTGCCTTTCTGCTCGGATCTCCTTACGCGACTGCAGATGTCATCACTGTGCAGCTTTGCCTTCTCTGTGCTGCCTCACGGCGTTTTGCAAATGCATGCTTCTTGCCGTGTCTGTATGACGCTCGACGATACTCCTGTGAGGAGCTACGTGTTAATTCGAGCGTGGCAAAAAGTCCCCGGGTAGCCTTACCCGTTGACAGTTCCTCGGATTCCCTGCTTGTTGGGATTAGGGTTATCCAGACGCCCACTGTAGATGTTTATATCTGGGAGTGAGTAGTGCGAGGTCCTGAGGGGTTTGTAACAAGCTGAGCTCCAGGAGGCCTTGCGACCACTTCCATATTTTCAGAAACACATTTGCTAACCTAGTGTTTCTCAAAATATCTTTGGTGACAGGGATTGTTATTTTAGCAATTTTGACTGCTTACAGGGAATGTTGTCCTATGACACACAGTTGTTCCCCCAGAAGTCCCTGAAGTGTGGAGAATATGGTTAGTAATCTTGTACCCCAGCATCTGCTGTGCTGGCTCTGTGGTTTAAAAGGAAGGAAAGATGGAAAACGCATATAAAAAAACTGGCAAGGGACTCGATCAGTACCTAGTATCAGAGCAGTAACAATGTAGTGGTGACACCTGTGTGACTGTGGTTCCATAGCTCCTTGTTTGTTTCATTCTTGTAACAACTCCATTAGATAAAGTAAAAATTGTTTCCATTTTACAGATACAGAACTTATGTTTCTGGCAGGCATTTGGCCTAGTGGTCGAGATGCTGACTGGGACCTGCCTTGGCACGCGGGTGCCTGGGTTCAGGCCCTGGCTCCAGCTCCTGATAATGTGGACCCTGAGAGGCAGCAGTGATGGCTCAAGTGTCTACACCGATGTGGGGGCCTGGATTGAGTCCTGGCGCACAGCTTTGAGGCTTTTGGAAAATGAGCCAATAGATGTGAGCCACTGGATGGGAACATTCACTCTGTGTCTCAAATAAATTTTTAAAAAATTATTTTAGAAGTGATAGTTACAGAGAGTGAGGGGTGCATGTGTGTGCGCGCGCACACACACACACACGCATCTTCCACGTGCTGGTTTGTTCTCCAGATGGCTGCATCAGCCATCACTGGGCTAGGCTGAAGCCAGGAGCTTCATCCAGGTCTCCCATGTGGTTGGTATGGGCCTAAACACTTGGGCCATCTGCTGCTGCTTTCCCAGGCCATCAGCAGGGAACTGGATCAGAAGTGGAGCAGCTGGGACAGGAACCGATGCCCATATGGGATGCCAGCATCACAGGTGGTGGCTTTACCCACTACAGCACAATGCTGGCCCCTCAATTTTTAAAAAAAGCATATACGAGAAAAATTATAGCTCCCCAGAAAGTGAGTTACTTGTTTACCATCACAGAGGTAGAAAACGACTGGAGCCTGGATTCTACCTGAGGCCTCTGACAGAAGCCACTGGCATTTCCCCTCTGTGTGCATTACAGGAGTCGTCCTGCTCTAGTGCCCCAGGTCTGCTCCTGCCTGGATGCAGGTCTTCTTGGATCTTGGTGTTTAGTGGGTGTGTGTGAGCATCTCTGGTGTGTGTGTTGTTGGTCTAGGATGATCTTGTCTTTGATTTGATGGAAAGATCTTGACGAGATGTGGCAAAGGAAGTTTTGTTCTTGGGAGGGACGTGGGTAGTGGTAACCACCTCAACATGCCTGTAATTGTGCATATTGTTTGTAGCCAAATCTTTTCCCATCTTATATCCTGTACCAGATAGTTTGTTTTCCTTCCAGGGAAACCTCGGGGCTGTGATGGAGGACAGTAGTGAGGATGCTTCAATCCATCGACTGGAGGGCACTGATCTGGACTCTCAGGTTGGCGGTCTCATCTGCAAGAACAAAAATGCGGCCAGCGAACAGCATGTCTTCAAGACCCCCGCCCCTCGCCCTTCCTTGCTGGGACTGGACTTGCTGGCGTCCCTGAAACGGAGGGAACGGGAGGAGAGGGACGATGGAGAGGACAAGAAGAAGTCCCGAATCTCTTCCTACAAGGACTGGGAAGAGAGCAAGGAAGACCAGAAGGACGCCGAGGAGGAGGGCGGCGAGCAGGCCGGCCGGAATGGCCGGAAGGACAGGTGAAGGCCCGCGGGCCAGCCGGCCAGAGAAGGGGAGCCCGTGTCTTAGCCGTCAGCGTTCCTGCTGGACATTTAACTCCAAGGCCAGACGCCTGTCCCTGGTCGGGCATTTAGAGCTTCATGATTTTATAAATTTGTATGTTGACAGTAGGTAGGGATTGATATTTTCTTCAGATTTAAGGCAGAATTCAAAGGCAGCTAAAGTGTGGATGGTGGAGGCCAGAGTGCGTAGTGTGTGATAAGTAAGCCTGCAGGTCTGGGAGGTAAAGTGGGAAAGGACAGATCACTGTCTGGTGTGGCCCTGCTGTGGGGTGGGGCTTTCTCCAGGGAGGGCCCTGTACCAGTTGCTAAGGCTGCAGAGAAGGAAGGCGCGCAAAAATCAACCCAGCTTCTCCTGTTTCAGACACTACCGATCTGCTCGGGTAGAGACGCCATCCCACCCAGGTGGTGTGAGTGAAGAATTTTGGGAACGCAGTCGGCAGAGAGAGCGGGAGCGGCGGGAACATGGTGTCTATGCCTCGTCCAAAGAAGAGAAGGATCGGAAGAAGGAGAAATCGCGGGATCGAGACTATGACCGCAAGAGAGACAGAGGTAAACCGTCCCGCATGCTTCCTGTGGTCCATTTGCACTTACATTAACTGCTCAGCCTTTTTCCTGTTGCCTGAGTTTTTATAATAACCACCACTGGGCATTATAAGACGTAAATGCATCGTGTCAGCCTGATTGGTTTTGGCCTGTCAGGATTGGGGGTCGCAGGCAGTCTAAGAAAAGTGCTGCTCCTTGCATAGCCACTTTGCTTGCGTTGTGGTCCTTGTTTTATTATGGGCACTGTGGTAACAGGAGAACAGGTGGTATTTGTACCAAACCAGAGTTACAGTAGTGTTAGTGATAGAGAAAGAACAATGTCGTGGAACAAAGCCAGACATAAAATTCAGCACTGGCTTTGCTCAGTATTGTCTGAGTCTTACAGCTTAGACTTGTAACTACCAAAAAACTACTTGCTATAGACTTTTAAGTATTGTTTTTTGAATTCTTGCAGGAAAATAACTGTTACTGTGAGTTTGAAACTTTGTAGCCAATAGCTATTTTTGCCCCTTGAGAGAATGGGAGTATGGGATTGTCAGGAGGCCCTTGGTGGCATTAGAGCAGTGCAGGTTGCACCTGTGAGTGAGTGGGGAGGCCTGTCCTTTCTCCAGGGTACAGATGGGTGTGTGTTAGCGTAGACATTTGGTTTTAATCTCTGAGTGTGACTCTTACAGACGAGCGGGATAGAAGCAGGCACAGCAGCAGATCAGAGCGAGATGGAGGTTCAGAGCGCAGCAGGAGAAGAAATGAACCAGAGAGTCCACGACATCGACCCAAAGGTAGTCTGAGCCGTGTTCTGTGGTGGCTGCGAGGGACCAGGTGTATCCAAGGCAGAGTGAGTGGCTCCTCTGCCACGTGGTTTCTAAGCAGTGCCATAATTCCTGACTCCCCCAGATACTCTTGGGGTACCTGGTTCAGAGTCAGGTGCGCACCTCTCTATTGAGAGGGATGGGCCCCCTTTGAGGTGAGAGGCTGGTTTGCTGAATGACCAGTTTTTTTAAATGGCAGGGAAGAGTGACTAGCTGGGAGCAGGAGAAAGGTTTGTTAAAAAGAAGTCCTTGGGCCGGCGCCGTGGCTCACTA